AGTTACATAGTACTAATAATATAAACACTCCCTGTTGTTTTAATTTAAAATTACAGTGTTATATTGGGGCAGTGGGGAAGTATGGGGGTTGAGGACACCTAAGAAAGCAAAATCTTCTCCTAAAGCAGGAAGCCAGTATTTTAAGACAACACATCATTTATAAGCATGGAGGTAAATACCAGAAGAAACAAATTAAAAAGATGAAAGTCACTGCTTTAGTACAGAGACTTGGTGGCTAAAGACAGGACACTAGTATTTTTCATTATAACTCTTCTAGTAGGTTACACTATGACTTATTTTTGTCCTTTTTATTTCTAAAAGAACGTCCACTTCCCAACACCTCCATCCCATATAATAGCAGCTGTTGGAGAAGCTGAAGTCCGGAGAGGGGAAGGGGCTGACCAAGGAGAACTATCAAGTTGGGGACAGGGCAAGAGCTAGACTCTAAACCTCTGGCCTCCTGATTTCAGGCATGACAGACCTTGTCATGGTCTGTCCTTTTAAGCTGACTGAGGTCAGGGCCTTCCTGGCAGGACTATGCCTTCCTGACAATGCATGTCTTCGGTGGCCTTCAGAGCTGGGGCTGGGGTTAGAAGACAAGACCATAATTCCCCCCAGGGACTCTAACCCATCACCGTCATAGGCTTCACCTCCAGACAGCCCCACCCCCAAACCCCGGAAGGGCAGCCCTACCTCCCCGGAAGCATCTTAGCAATCTCGGCCCAGCGGTTGCCCAGCACCTTGTGGGCCTCACAGATGATGCGGTCCTCCTCCTCAGTCCAGCAAGACTTCTTCACTTCGGGGTTGAGATGGTTATGCCAGCGCTCACGGCACTGCTTGCCCAGTCGACCCTTCAGGTGTTTGGCGATCAGTGTCCACTGCTTTGTGCCGTACTTCTTGACCAGCTCGATGACCTTGCAGAAAAGCCATAGCGAAGTCAGCAGGATCTGCCCCTTCCTCACCCACACCAAAGGACCTTATGATCCAAACTTGAACCTGAGTCTCCCCATGGCCCTGAGAGGTCGTGACCTGCCCCACCCCCTTGGGAAACACGGGAGCCACAGATGGTTGAATGGCTGCTGCTAAGAGGTCCTTTGTATGGACCACAGGCACTTACCCAAGGACCTTACCACATCCCTGCCATTCACTGCCTTGAATAAAGCAAGGCCAAGAGTGCCAGACACTCCTTCTAGACTGGAGATCAAGTACAGAAAAAGGAGGCAGGAATCCTGCCTCCCTCTTCAGTGCTCTGTTCATCCAACACAGAAGAGGTCAAGGGAAGAATCTGCCCACAGGGCATCCAAACTCACAGCACCCAGAGCTAACTCCCACAATGGAGGCCTTGTGGACTCAGGCTAGGGGTTAGACTTCTCTATGCTCAGCCACATCCAGGGCCGCCACAAGCCCCTCCAGCACTTTTGTGGAAATCAGGAAAATACAGCCTCAAAGGAGGTGCCAGTCCTGGAAAGCTGAGTCAGACTGGATTCCAGTCCCCCTTGTTCAGAACATCAACCAATATGTGCCTATGAGCCTTCAGCTCATGAGTGGTGAAACCTAGAGACTTGGAACCTTGGGGCTAAAGCCATCACACTGTGGGAATCTTCCAGACTGGCCAACGGACAACTTGCATTCAGCATACAGTTTTACTGCTCCATCAACAGGGAAGGTAGTCTCAAGTTACTTATTCAATAAACTGGGGGGGTATGAAGCCTTTCTATGTTTGAGGTGCTATCTCAGGATAGGGTACCTTTTGATCTTCCTCTTTGGTCCATGGCCCTTTGACAAGATCTGGATTCAAAACCCGCAGCCACCGGTATTGACATTGTTGGTCTGTGCGGTTCTGTGATGAGAATGGGGAGAGCAAACAAGGATGGTCAGTATTCCTGGGGACCTCAGGCTTGGGCCCTGGTTGAGCACTGACCTCAGGGGACTGCATCCTGGGGCCTGGCATAATGAAGGTGGAATGTGTCCTGTTCCCTGCAAACACCACACGCTACATGCCTGCATACCTGCCAGAACATGAAGGATTCCTCTTTGCTACAAAAGAGGGCATGGACGGAACGTGGCATACTCAGATCACTGTGGGAAACCACCTCTTGCCATCCTAACACTGGGACTTATATGAGGAAATGTAAATTTGTGCTGATCACACGTTGCAGGTGTCAAAGAGCCTAAAGACCGTCGGACTTGCTGAGGCTAATGTGTGGAGATATTTATGTCAGGGCATCCCAAATTCTGGTTTGGGAATGAAGGCCCTAGAAAGGTGTTTTGTTTTGTTTGTTTTTGGGTTGGGTAGCATGTCAAGCTTGGTAAGGAATTCCCTACTCCTCTTTTCTTCTCCGTGGCAGAAATTCTGTACCAGCCTCAGGGTCTAGTCACCCAGAACCCAGAACCCTTGCCCCTGGTGGAATGGGGTCACAGGGGGCCAGTACTCACAGGAAAATGGCTGGCCAGGAATTTCCAGTCTTGCTGTCCAAACTGCCTTACCAGAGCCCTCAGCTGCTCATCCTGCCAATACCAGAAAGACAGAAGAATGGGCTCACACAGGTGCCGAAGGCCTTAGAACCCTCCCTAAAAGAAGCACGTTCACTCATCCATTCAGTCAGGGAGTGAATGCCAGGTACAGTGCTAGGCACCACAGACATGACCACAGGCAGCACCAGAGCTGCCCCTGATCTCATGGGGCTCACGGTCTGGAATGCAAAGGCTCACACAAACAAAAGTAAAGCCACCCAGCATGAGGGATATGAAGCAGAGGTGCATGGGAGGCAAGGACTTGAGGAAGTGATGGCTGAATGAAGATTTAAGGAAAGTCAAGCGTAGCTAGAATGCAGAAAGCAAGTGAGAGGAGGATGCAAGCTGAGTTTGGAGGGGACAGCAGAGGCCAGGCCACACGCAGGGCTGATCCTGGCCCTTACGTCATGCATAGCCACTGATGCCTTTGTGCAGTGGGGGTCACAGTCTGCTGTGTGTGTTATAAAGTTTACTGTGGCTGCTGTAGGGTGGGAAAGGAGCCATCAGAGGGCAGAGTGGACATCAAACAGCTGTTACAGGCACCCAGACCAGAGAGGAGAGTGATTCGGTATCAGATATGGGGAAATGGGTAAAAGGAAGAGGATTCAGAAGGTCAAGTAATGTTTAAATATGCTCCTAAAATGAGCTACTGATTCACACAACATGAAATCTCAAAATCATGGCAAGTGAAAGAAGTCAGACACAAGACTAAAAATATTGTATGATCTCACTTATATGAAATATGCAGATTTGGAGACCACAGGTCATTGAGTCTCTGGGTAGCAACAATGGTTAAGCACTCTACCTCCAGCTGAAAGGTTGGCAGTTTGAACCCACCCAGAGGCACCCCAGATGATGGGCCTGGTGATCTGAAAGGCCACAGCCTTAAAAACCCTATGGAGCAGTTCTACTCTGCACACACAGGGTCGCCATGAATCACAATCACTTTGACAGCAACTAACAAGAAGTCTTTCTAAAAGGGGGCAGCAGCCACAAAACCCACGGCGATTGCCTCGCAGGAATGCAAACCTGGTGCTGCCATATCAATGAGCTAGCAATCTGATTTTTAAGGAGCCCTGGTGGTGCAACAGTTAAGCACTGGGTTGCTAACCGAAGGTTGGTGGTTCAAACTGACCCAGTGGCTTCATGGGACCTCGAAGGACCTGGCAATCTAGGTTTAGCACAGAAAACCCTATGGGGCAGTTCTATCCTGTCCTAAGGGGTCGTTATGAGTAAAAAAACAACAACAAAGTTTATTAGTGGTTACGAGAAGTGGGAAGAGGGTTGGGGGGGGTAACTGCTTAGGGGGTACTGAGTTTCTGTTATTGGTGGTAGAATAATTCACAAAATGATATTGCACAGCATGATAAACGTAATCAATGTCACCAAATTGTATGTGTGAGAATTGATGAATTGGCAAATGCTTTCTTGTATATATATTTTTACCACAATGAAAAGAAAACTGAATAGGAATAGGAGTTGTGGTTACATGGGTATACACATTTATCAAAGATGATAGAACCTTTTACTTAAAAAGAATGCATTTGCTCTACCTGCCTCCCTGTGTAGCCCATAGCTTAGTCCTCTAAACCAGCAGGACAGACCCCCATGGGGATCAGTTTGGGTCAGCCTGCTCCCCCTTCCAATCAGCGCCGAGGACTGCTGACAAGGCTGCTATGTGCTAGGAAGCAGGCATCCTGAGTCCAGGATCCTCCCACAGCCAACATACTATGAGGTGGGCTCTGACAGCAACAAGGCAGACCTCCCCAGGGGGCTCACTTGGAGAGTGACTACCCTTCCCCCAACTGTTAAGTGTCCACTGCTGGACCAATATGAACTCCTACAGAAGGTTCCCTACTGTGGAGTCAGAAGGTGGGGTCGCCTAAGTAGAGACTTATCCTCCAACAACAAAACAGCCACTAGG